ATTGGAAGAAACAACACAAAAGCCTTCTGTATGAGAAAGTACCCAAAGTTGTCCCTCTCATTTGGAATTCCAGTCTGGCCTAGCAATTCGGTAGAATTTAATTTGTTCCATATTCCATTTTGAATCACATCCACTTTTTGCTGCATACAACTCTTCTTTCATGAAACTGGATTATAATGTACAGGAATGAAGAAAATATTCAGACGGTAGAATTTCAGTGTTAGAAATTATATGAGCCTTCAGAAGTTATTGGATTGCAACTTTCTAATCAATATAGCCAATGGTGAACATGATGGGAGTTTCAGTCCAATACATTCTAGAGAGCCACATGTTTTTTCATTATTGGATGCTGAATATGCATTTCCGAGGCAGTCAGTTGTTGTTTTAAAGAGAAGTGTTTGGCCCTTGGAATTTCACAGATATGTTGGTACATGTGTAATAACAGCCAACATCTCAAAAATGTAGGAGTATGTGTATATGTTGGATAATTTTTCTAGCAATTGGCAGTGGGTCTACAAAAACTCAGCTCAGCCTCCTGCCCCACTGTCACGCTCTCCCACTCCCCAAATCTCTTCAGTTAGTGTGGTCCATTTCCCCTTGTTGTTGTGGGCGCTGTATACCATCAAGTTGTTTCTAACTTAAGGTGATTCTAAGGCAGGAGTGTCAAACTTGTTTTCATTGAAGGTCACATCAGACTTTGGGTTGCCTTCAAAGTGTCATTGGATCCATGGGTGGAGTATCCATGGATACAGAGGGCCAACAATAATTTTTTTACATAGTGGTCAGTGCTCTTTAGTTTCTACCCAATTTGAGCCTCACGTGCTATTGAATGACAACTCCTACCACTTTTATCTGCCATATGGACTGGGAATAATGGGAATTGCAACTCAACAGCACTTGTGGCTCTGAAGATGGCGAAAAGTAAATGGACATGTTAATGCCAGACATCATATCCACAAGCTCTGTATCTAAATTCAAACCCCACTATCCTGACTATACAGAACAAACTGCAGTTTTCAAGATGTTACTGTATCACAACTCCCAACAGCTCTAGTCATGCTGTCTAATGATGTGGAAAACAGGAGTTGTAGTCCAGCACTTGGAGGACCACATAAAAATGACATGACAGGCTGGATTTGGCTTGTGGGCCTTGAGTTTGTCACACATGCTTTAAGGTGATCCTTTCATGGGAAGCAATATTTGCTTGGAAGGGGTTTCCCTTTGCCTTCTTCTGAGGCTTAAAGAGTGTGACTTGCCCAATGGGTTTCCATGACTGAATAGAGATTTGAACCCTGGCCTTCAGAGCCCTAGTTCATTCTGCTACACTATGCTCGTTCTCTATCCATAGCCCCTACTTTAGACTTGATTTTATTTGGAGACACTGAGAAATTTGCAGTTGTTTCATAAAAGCCAACAAGAGTCTATAGCATATATGGAAGCTTGCCTTAGAATATATATAAAATACATTTTGTGAATAAAGTCACTGCGACCCTTGACATCAATGTGTTATGCATGCTGGTGAGTTCCAAATATATAATATTTATTCTCTCTAAGAGACCTTCGAATTCATTTTGCAGCATGAGCTCATTTGAAGAGGCTTCTCCAACTGCCAGTGCAAGGCCAGGGAAAAGCCAGCTGTGTTAAATCACTCCCATAATCACCAGGTAATGAGCACATTATTGCAAATTGGCTGGCAATTTTATCTAACACAGCTTTGACTTTCGCTCATTGCCTAGCAGTTGCAGCAATTTGACCTCCCAGCTGCAAGGAAGGCCTGCTTCTGAAGGTAGAACAGCCATATTATAATATAAAGCAATTTCATATGGAAATTCGGTGGCAGGAGCGGGGTGCTGAACACTCCCCACGACATTTACACATCTACACTATAACCAGCAGGGCTCTAAGACTGGCAGGAAACCTTGCAGAAGGAAAGACAGCTGCAGCAAGGAAGATCTGCATACTCCTGACACCTCCCTTCACACTTGGTAATGAAACTCATATTTTCTACCTGTCCAGCAGTACCTGCATTCAAACTCACAGGTCATGCTCTCTCACAAAATAGCCACCCTTTGGGAGGGCACCAGGTTGGATATGTCTGAGCCATGTTCTGCTAAAATTCCTGTGCTGCATTATGTACCCTTTGGGCCAGGAGTCCTCAAACTAAGGCCTGAGGGCCAGATACGGCCCTCCAAGATCGTTTACCCAGCCCTCGCTCAAAGTTAACCTATTTATTTATTTATTTATTTATTTATTTAATTATTTCATTTAATTACTGTAAATAAATAAATACATAAATTTCTACCCCGCTCTTCTCCCCACAAGGGGACTCAGGGCAGCCTCACATAAGCAACAAATGATGCTATCAACATATACACCACGGGAATTTCAATTAAAACAGTAAAACTCAATTTAAAAAATTATACAAATTCATTAATAAATTAATTTAACAATAAATTAAAGTGCCTCTAAAACCAAGATCCAGCCGGGTAAATCCAATGTTGCAATGTTCAAAGATTTCCTTTCCAAGTTGCTGCTGTCCTCCAGTCGAACGCCTGGTCCCAAAGCCAAGTCTTCAGTTGTCTTCTAGAGGACAGGAGGGAGGTGGCCAACCTGATGTCCTTCCTTAGGGAGGGAATTCCACAGATGGGGGGCTACTGCCGAGAAGGCCCTGTCTCTCGTCCCCACCAACCATATTTGCGAAAGTGGTGGGATCGAGAGTAGGGCCTCTCCTGATGATCTTAAGCTTCGTGATGGTTTATAGCAGGAGATACGTAATCTGGCCCTAAGTCTGAAACAACTAGAAAGCACACAACAACAACAACAACCCTATCTCATCAGCCAAAAGCAGGCCCATACTTCCAATTGAAATACTAATAAGTTTATATTTGTTAAAATTGTTCTTCATTTTAATTATTGTATTGTTTTTAAGGGTTTTTTTGCTCTACAAATAAGATATGCGCAGTGTGCATAGGAATTCATTCATGCTTTTTTCAAATTATAATCCGGCCCTCCAAGAGTTTGAGCAACCTTGACCTGGCCCTCCATTTAAACAGTTTGAAAACCCCTGCTTTAGGCCTTTGTACATGAAGTTTTATTTACTGGAGGAAAATGAAGCAATAAATCACCCATGTGAGGAGCCAAAGGAGGAGAAAGTGGAGCCAAGCCAGTTACTTCACATACGAAATCCAACTAAAGGAGAAAGCACTGAGCCAAAAAAGAGGAGAGGGCAAGATGAAACAAGATGGCCAAGTAGATGCTGTAGTAGGATCACCAACCTTTGTAACCAGAAGTGGTGGCAATACCATGGAAGGGCTTGAGAGGCCCTTGGACTACATTGAGGTCACTTGTGAAACTCCATATCAGAACAAGTATCTCAACATGAATCAGCCTTAGATTTTGAGTCCAAACTTTAAAGAATGCTGGCTTTTGGATAGCTCCTTTAAGGCTAGGGCTAAAGGCCAATAGCAAATTGCAGCCTTGCACAAGGGGAGGCCACCAGCTGGTTAAGTTTAAAGATTTTCTTGTTTTTGGGTTGTTGTAGATTTTTTGGGCTATATGGCCATGTTCTAGAAGCATTCTCTCCTGATGGTTTGCCTGCATCTATGGTAAGCATCCTCAGAGATCTCACAACCTCTGAGGATGCTTGCCATAGATGCAGACAAAACGTCAGGAGAGAATACTTCTAGAACATGGCCATATAGCCCGAAAAACCTACAACAACCCGGTGATTCCAGTCATGAAAGCCTTTGACAATACATTTCTTGTTTTTCTTCTCACTAGTGTTGTCTGGCACTGTAAAAAATTTAAACAGTTTTGAGTGCTTTAAGTGATTCTAACTGAAATCATGTTTAATTCTATTTTAATCTTTTCATGTTCTCAATTTTAAATGTTTTGAGCCTGTTTGTATTTCAGTCAAGAGATATAATCAGGATATCATATTGGGGTAGAATTATGGTTGTAAATAGGATATTCCAAGGGGTTTGTTTTAATTAGCAGCCTCATGGGATGGCTTCAACCAGTGCTGGATTTAGGACAAATGAAACCCTGTGCTAGTTACATAATGAGGCCCCTTACTTGAAGGAGGTAGGTCCAGTAGGCCTACACTACCTACTTTGTGGCACACTCCCAGATACTATCAACACTATCATTAAGTCTGGAATCACTCCAAAACAGAATGCCTTCAAATTCATAATTGCACCATATGAGCAAAATGCATCGTAAATTTTTTTGGAGCAGGAAGATGGGCCCCTCTGGTCAACCGGGCCCTGTGCTTAAGCATGCCTAAGGACAATGGTAAATCTGGCCATGGCTTCAGCAATTGGACAGAAGACAGACTGATAAAGAAGTCAACCATTTCTTCCTGTGCACTTTCCCTGATATACAATTACTATGGCAAATTAGTTAGAGTGGTGAGCTTGGGTCTCTCGGGTCTAATATATACACTCCTTGTTCCCAAGATGCTTACTGGGTGACCCTGGGCAGAGTTGTTGTATAGACAACTTGCAGAGTTGTTGTATAGACAACAAGAACAAAACACGTATGTCTCCTGAAGCAATTAATGAACAAAGGGCAGCTGACTGGCTCCCAATTTACTTACCTCCGCCGGGAAAGAAGACAGATACATTTGCTGTACTATAACTTCTAAAATATTAATACAACTGTCAAAGCATAACCTAACTCAGATTGGGATCTAATTCACTTGTTACTCCCAGCCCAGCTGTTTGGAAACCAGTGTTTTAGTCCAGACTAAAGAAATGCACCCCTCCTTTCTCCTTTCACGTGAATTCCCTTCTAGGCCCTTGCAACATTCTTGAAATGTGAAATCCCCAGTCGGCCTTTACACAAGATCTAACCAGAACAGCCCTCACTTTTATTCCCAAACTTGGAAACAAGTTAATACAGCCTTGTCTGGCATTCCTTCCCCTCATGTTATATGATGTGTTGAATTATTCTGCTGGAGTTATGGTCCCTTCAAGCAACCTCACCTGTCCATACATCAATCACATATGTATGCCAGGTTTCTGGCACTCCTTTAATCTCAAATGAGCTGTGAACATCAAAGAAATACACAACTATTTTTCATTTCGCTACCCAGAAATATTTACTAGCACACAGAGCCAGAGTTCAGATGCTCTCTTGAGATGTTGTCTTCCTGACTTTTTTCCTTAGGCTTGAATCACAGCATAAATATCCTTCACTGAAAGTTTCAAGGGATCAGCTCTTTCTCCCCCTTTCTCTTGCAAGTTGGATGTCAAGATCCCGAAGCTGGCTGAGGAAACCAGAGTTTGGACAGACCCCTCTGTGTTCCCGCACAGACTTTAGGGCGTCCACAAGGGTCATGTTTTCACAGATCATCAAGAAGGCAAGCACAAGGGTTGCTGAGCGACTTATGCCCATGGCGCAGTGGACTAATACTTTACCTGCAGATTAGAAAGGAAAATACAGTGATCATATGCATCCCCCATGTTACCATATACAACAAGACGTGGCCAGTTTTGAGATTTTCTAACAGGTCAAGATTACATGATGCCTACTGGGAAATGTTAGAAGATAAATGTTCTTCAAGAATGACATCTGAAGCCCTTTCCATCAACTTACTAATACATGGCCATGTTTTCTGACATTTTTCATTGACTTGATTAAATCTTTATGCTGATGACATCCAACTCTATTACTCCTTTCCACCGAAAACCAAGGATGTAGTCCTTCCCCTAAACCAGTGCCTGTCAGCAATAATGGACTAGTGAGGGCTAATAAGTTGAAGGTAAATCCAGACAAAAACAGAGGTACACCTGGTCAGTCGGAAGGCAGATCAAGGTGTGGTGTTACAGCCTGCATTAGGTGTGGTTTTTAAATTATTGTATTATACAGGGTGAGGCAACATAACTTCCTTTTTTCAAAACTTAATAAAACCCATTGTATGAATCAGAAATTTTTATTTTTAATTTTTATAATGTAGGCACATACCTAAAGTTTTGTTTTACGTAGTTTTGAAGATCAAATTAGGTAGGTGACATCCCTTATTTTCCATTCTCCATACACTGATTAAACTGATTTCTGGCATTTGCTATGACTCTTTCCAGCATAGCAGGTGTTATGTTGGCAATTTCTTCCTGGATGTTGGTCTTCAAATCTTCTAGGGTCCTTGGACGGTTCGCACAAACACGGGATTTCAAAAAAACCCCATAGAAAAAATCACAAGGGGCCAAATCTGGAGAGTGGGCCGGCCACTCCAAATCTGCTTGAAAAGTAGGCCTCAACGGAAAAGGCACGCTCCTCACTGTTCCAACGCATGATGGTGACTGAACTGTTTCAGGACAAAACTGTATACTCCCGCCTCTCGAACGAAACCACTAGCGCTCCACTACGTCTTCAACTGACTGAATGGCGCGCATTTTAAAAAAAGGAAGTTATGCTGCCTCATCCTGTATAATATGATAGAAATTTTGGTTGTACACTCATGAAGACAAAATGAAGGAAAAATGATATAAAGCTTCTCCTGGATTTTGCCTTCATTTCATATAAACATGTCCAATGGAACCCTGACTTAAGAGCATCCCAACTTAAGAGCATTTTGAGTTAAGAGCTATATTCGGCCCAGGTTTTGCTAGCTTGAGAGTACAGGGCCTTAAGACCCGTCGCAAACGCTGTTCCTGCGGGAGCAAACCTTGCTAGCATGTCCCTGACGTCATGAGACTCCACCTCTCGCCCCGCCCCTTTCTCCGCCTCTTTCTCCTTGCGAGAGTGGTTTTTCCTTTGCTAGGGCAGCATTGCCAGCATACTCTCTCAGTTGGCAGAATTCAACTGAGAGAAAATGCGGGCAATGCTGCCCTAGCAAAGGAAAAACCACGCTGGCAAAGAGAAAGGGGCGGAGAAAGGGGCGGGGCGAGAGGCGCAGGCTCATGACGTCAGGGACGTGCTAGCAAGGTTTGCTCCCACAGGAACAGAGTTTGCGACGGCTCTAAGGCTTCAAGGGAGCAGCCTCCATGCCTCCTGCCTCCTGCTCTTGGGAGATTGCTGTCTGCTTTGCTCTTGTCTGCTTTGAGGAATTTTGGGTTAGTTGATTTTGTGTGCTTTTTATTCCTGGTATGTTTGGCTTCATGAAGAGAGAGAGAGCAAGAGAGGGAGGGAGGCTGGAATGAGGACAGAATGAAAGAAATGATGCTTCTGTCTCTTCACTTAGTGCTTCCTTGCCACGACTTTGTGCTTCTAACATTTTAACGTTGATATTTCTTTATAATTATTATTGTTCCATGTGAATGTTCAGATATTGCCTTGCTGTTACACTGGCCAACCAACATATTGTTGCTTTAAATGTGCTTCCTTGCCACAACTTTGTGTTTCTACCGCTTTAAAGCTGATCTTTTTTATTGTTCCATGTAAATGTGCAATTATACATTATTTGTTATCTATAAAGTGCATTTTCTTATTTTAAAACATGTAACAAAAAACATGGGGGGAGGCTTGGGGGCCTGGAACTGACTAATAGCATTTTGATGCATTTCACTGGGAAATTTACTTTGAGATAAGAGCATATTGGGTTAAGAGCTCACAAGGGGAACCAGTTACACTCTTAAGTCAAGGTATCACCAGGCTGGCATTTTAAAGAGTCAATACAATGCAAGGGGAACAACTGGTCATACTAATAGTTACTGTGCATATAGTTCTTCATCAAAAGCATTGGATATGGGAAATCAGTGTTCCCTCGCTGCTTCGCGGTTCACTTTTAGCGGACTCGCTATTTTGTGGTTTTTCAATAAATATTAATTTTAAATATATATTGTGGTATTTTCACTGTTTTGCAGGTTTTTGCCACCACCGCTCCCCAAGGCACTTTCCCTCCTCAGTCCTCCCTCCCTCCAGCCTTGAAGGGCCTTTCCTTCGCTCTCTCTCTTCACCCAGGGAAGGTAAAGGCAGGGAGGGCTTGCTTCCCTTCCTTCCTTCCTTCCTTCCTTCCTTCCTTCCTTCCTTCCTTCCTTCCTTCCTTCTTCCTTCCTTCTTCCTTCGCTCCCTCTCACTGACAGGGAGGGGGGGGGAGGTGGGGGGAGGAAGAGGAGAAGGAGTAAAAGAGAAATAGGGTTTATTTTAAGTTTATAAAGACTTTAAAAAGTGTAGAACTACTAAAAATGTATAAATATTAAAATGATATTAAAATAATATAGCGTCTCTACTTTGCGGATTTTCACTTATTGCAGGTGGTCCTGGAACGTAACACTGGAACTATACAGCGAGGGAACACTGTGTAGGCATTGTGCTCATTGCCACTGGTTATTCTATTCAACTGGGAATGCGTGGTGGGAGCAAGGAGGGGAGAAGGCAGGCTACAGTTGCAACCACATAAAGTTATGGACATTTTTGTACCCAAAAATTGGGTTATGTTTCCCATCTTTAGTTTTATTGCCTTGCTGATCTTGACGCTGAACATGCAATGAGCAATAGACCTGACTCCTGAAATGAAATGGTTTAGGTCAGAAAAATGGACCCAGAATACATTTTTTTTTTTTGCTATAAAGTCATGGTAGCAAAGTTTTATCCTTCTTGCTCAATCTCTTCTGCAAAACCCCAAAATATACAGTAACAGTGTTGAAAATGATATTATAGCCACCTGCTCAGTGGGAGTTCCTGGCTAGTTAGGTCAAATGAGAACTGATGCCTTTGGGGTCATCTGTCAGTAGTAGAAACCCGAGTCTGGTTCCTAAATATAACTATCTAAGAAGCCACAAATGAGACATCTAGGCCAGTGGTTCTCAACCTTCCTAATGCCGCAACCCCTTAATACAGTGCACCATGTTGCAGTGACCCCCAACCATAAAATTATTTTCATTGCTACTTCATAACTAGTTTTGCTACTGTTATGAATCATAGTGTAAATATCTGGTATGTGGGATGGATTTTCATTCGCTGGACTGCATTAGGCACAAATACCTGATACTGATGGGGTTGTAGGGGGGTTGGGGTTGATTTAGTCATTTGAGAGTTGTAGTTGCTGGGATTTGTAATTAACCTACAATCAAAGAGTGATCTGAATTCCACGAACAATGGAATCAAACCAAACTTGGCACACAGAACTCCCATGACCAACAGAAAATACTGGAAGGGTTTTGTGGGCATTGACCTTGAGTTTCGGAGTTATAGTTTACCTACACCTAGAGAGCACTGTGGACTCAAATAATGATGGATCTGGACCAAACTTGGCACGAATACCCCATATGCCCAAATGTAAACACAGATGGAGTTTGGGGAAAATAGACCTTGAAATTTGGGAGTTGTAGTTACTGAGATTTAACTACCAGCCGTAGAATTGGGCCAAACTTCCCACACAGAACCCCCATGACCAATAGAAAATATTGTGTTTTCTGCTGCTCTTTTGCGACCCCTCTGACACCTCCTCCCAACCCCCAGGTTGAGAAACACTGATCTAGGCAGTAAAACAAAAACCTTCCCTAAATTTATTTAGGAACAAATTTGTTTTAAGGTCAGAGTCAGGACAATAGTTGAATATTCACAACTAGGTTGATTCCAATTTTCTGAATTCAATATTTTAAATTTCATTTTATTGCATGTAAAAGGTAAAGATAAAGGTTTCTCCTGACATTAAGTTTAGTCATGTCCAACTCTGGGGGGTGGTGCTCATCTAAATTTCTAAGCCGAAGAGCCGACATTGTAGGTGCCTCCAAGGTCATGTAGACAGCATGACTGCATGGAATGCCATTACCTTCTCGCAGAAACAGGACCTATTGATCTGTTTGCATGTTTTTGAACTGCTAGGTTGACAGAAGCTGGGGCTAACAGCGGGAGCTCACCCCACTCCCCGGATTCAAACTGCCAACCTTTCGGTCAGCAAGTTCAGCAGGTCAATAGTTTAACCCACTGCATCACCAGGGAGCCATGTTGTTGTTCATTCGTTCAGTCGTCTCCGACTCTTCGTGACCTCATGGACCAGCCCACGCCAGAGCTCCCTGTCGGCCGTTACCACCCCCAGCTCCCTCAAGGTCAGTCCAGTCACTTCAAGGATGCCATCCATCCGTCTTGCCCTTGGTCGGCCCCTCTTCCTTTTGCCTTCCACTTTCCCCAGCATAATTGTCTTCTCTAGGCTTTCCTGTCTCCTCATGATGTGGCCAAAGTACTTCAACTTTGTCTCTAGTATCTTTCCCTCCAGTGAGCAGTCGGGCTTTATTTCCTGGAGGATGGACTGGTTGGATCTTCTCACAGTCCAAGGCACTCTCAGAACTTTCCTCCAACACCACAGCTCAAAAGCATCGATCTTCCTTCGCTCAGCCTTCCCTAAGGTCCAGCTCTCACATCCGTAGGTTACTACAGGGAATACCATGGCTTTGACTAGGCGGATCTTTGTTGCCAGTCTGATGTCTCTACTCTTTACTATTTTATCGAGATTGGACATTGCTCTCCTCCCAAGAAGTAAGCGTCTTCTGATTTCCTGGCTACAGTCTGCATCTGCAGTAATCTTTGCACCTAGAAATACAAGTCTGTCACGGCCTCCACGGTTTCTCCCTCTATTTTCCAGTTGTCAATCATTCTTGTTGCCATAATCTTGGTTTTTTTGATGTTTAGCTGCAACCCGGCTTTTGCGCTTTCTTCTTTCACCTTGATTAGAAGGCTCCTCAGCTCCTCCTCGCTTTCGGCCATCAGAGTGGTGTCATCTGCATATCTGAGGTTGTTTCATATCTGTTTCTTCCAGCAATTTTCACCCCAGCTTTGCATTCATCCAGCCCCGCACATCGCATGATGTGTTCTGCATACAAGTTAAAAAGGTTGGGTGAGAGGATGCAGCCTTGCCGTACGCCTTTCCCAATCTTGAACCAGTCTGTTGTTCCGTGGTCAGTTCTGACTGTTGCTACTTGGTCCTTGTTCAGATTCCTCAGGAGAGAGACAAGGTGGCTTGGGATGCCCATCCCACTAAGAACTTGCCACAATTTATTATGATCCACACAGTCAAAGGCTTTAGAATAGTCAATGAAGCAGAAGTAGATGTTTTTCTGAAACTCCCTGCCTTTCTCCATTATCCAGCGGATATTGGCAATTTGGTCTCTCGTTCCTCTACCTTTTCTAAACCCAGCTTGAACATCTGGCAACTCTCGCTCCATGTATTGCTGGAGTCTTCCTTGCAGGATCTTGAGCATTACCTTACTGGCATGAGAAATAAGGGCCACTGTACGGAAGTTTGAGCAGTCTTTCACATTTCCCTTTTTTGGTATGGGGATATAAGTTGATTTTTTCCAGTCTGATGGCCATTCTTGTGTTTTCCATATTTGCTGGCAAATGGCATGCATCACCTTGACAGCATCATCTTTTAAGATTTTAAACAGTTCAGCTGGGATCCAGTCATCTCCTGCTGCCTTGTTGTTAGCAATGCTTCTTAAGGCCCATTCAACCTCACTCCTCAGGATGTCTGGTTCTAATTCATTCACCACACCGTCAAAACTATCCTCAATATTATTATCCTTCCTATACAGATCTTCTGTATAGTCTCGCCACCTTCTCTTGATCTCTTCAGCTTCTGTTAGGTCCCTGCCATCTTTGTTTCTTATCATACCAATTTTTGCCTGAAATTTACCTCCAATGTTTCTAATTTTCTGGAAGAGGTCTCTTGTCCTTCCTATTCTGTTGTCTTCTTCCACTTCCATGCATTGCTTATTTAAAATAGTTCCTTATCTCTTCTGGCTAACCTCTGGAATTGCGCATTTAACTGGGCATATCTCCCCTTATCCTGTTTCCTTTTGCTTTCCTCCTTTCTTGGGCTACTTCCAGTGTCTCAGCAGACAACCATTTTGCCTTCTTGGTTTTCTTTTTCTTTGGGACGTACTTTGTTGCCGCCTCCTGAACAATGTCTCGGACTTCTGTCCATAGTTCTTCTGGGACTCTGTTTACTAAATCTAGTCCTTCAAATCTGTTCTTCACTTCCACTGTATATTCGCTAGGAATGTTAGTGAGAACATATCTAACTGGTCTGTGTATTTTCCCTGATCTCTTTAGTTTTATTCTAAATTGGGCAATAAGAAGTTCGTGATCTGAGCTACAGTCAGCCCCAGGTCTTGTTTTCACCGACTGGATGGATGTCCGCCACCTTTGGTTGCAAAGGATGTAGTCAATCTGATTTCGGTGTTGACCGTCTGGTGAGGTCCATGTGTAAAGCCGTCTTTTAGGTTGTTGGAAGAGAGTATTCGTTATACACAGCGAGTTTTCCTGGCAAAATTCTATCAGCCTGCGTCCCGCTTCATTTTGTTCTCCCAGACCATGCTTGCCTGTGATCCTGTTGTCATTTGACTTCCCACCTTGGCATTCCAGTCTCCTGTAATGAAAATAATGTCTCTTTTTGGTGTATTATCCAGTAGGTCCTGCAGATCCTCATAGAACTGATCTACTTCTGCTTCTTCAGCAGCTGTGGTTGGGGCGTATATTTGGATCACTGTAATGTTGAAAGGCTTTCCTTGCACTCGAATTGAGATCATTCTGTCATTTTTTGGGTTGTATCCAAGCACCGCTTTAGCAAATTTCTTATTAATTATGAAGGCTACTCCATTTCTTCGATGTTCCTCTTGTCCGCAGTAGTAGATCTGGTGGTCATCTGATGTGAAGTGGCCCATTCCAGTCCACTTCAGTTCGCTGACCCCCAGAATGTCTATCTTTAGTCTTGACATCTCGCCAATAACAACATCCAATTTGCCCTGGCTCATAGATCTTACATTCCAGGTTCCTATGGTGTGTTGATCTTTAGAGCATCGGATTCGTCGTTCACCTCCAGTACCGTCGGCCGCTAGCCTTCCTTTCGGCTTTGAGCTAGCTGCGTCATCACATCTGGGGCTAGTTGAACTTATCCTCTGCTCCTCCAGTAGCATTTTGGCCATCTTCCGACCTGGGAGTCCCATCTTCCAATGGCATACCGACATATCTCTGGTTGTACTGGTCCATTTAGTTTTCTTGGCAAGGATACTGGAGTGGTTTGCCATTGCCTTCCCCAGGGATCACGCTTGGTCTGACCTCTCTGCCACAACCGTCCCGTCTTGGGTGTCCCTTCACGGTTTCGCTCATGACATCATTGAGGTGCTCAAGCTCCAGTGCCCCGACAAGGCGGTGATCCTTTGCTGGAGCCATTAAGTTCATGTATTAAAAACTCAGAAACTAAAAATAGAAATGTCTAAGTAAGAAAGTTTCAGTTTTATTTCACGGTTTAATATTTGCATCAGAAGACAGTTAACATCTCACTTTTTTTTCTAGCTCAACTTGTCCCAAACACGTTCAATTAACTATTGTCCTTTACCCATGTGCAGTAAAATGCAGGAGAAGGAAGAATCTGAGATCCATTCATACTACATTATACGTTTCGTGTTGTTCCACTTTACCTACCTTGTTGCATCCTATGGAAACCAAGGGTTTGTAGTTTAGTCAGAGAAACTGGTTGAGAAACTTCCACTTCTTAAACTACATATCCCAGGATTTCAAAGGATAGAACTACAAATTAATAGAGGAGTGATAGTGTATAATTTTGTGATGTGACAGAATGGGCATGTTATGTGTGAACATGGATGTTTATTTTCTGAATAAAACTGTGTTCCATTCTGTTAATGTCATGTACAGTAATTTACATCCACATTACATAAGAAATGGCTGCTCAAGTGTCTAGATACCTGAGATAACATTGTCATGCTCATTATATTTACCTTTTGGTGTGTTCAGTGCTGCTCGGATATATTTAGCAGTTGAGTGGAAGTAAATACTGAGATTGAACTTTGGATCATCATCTGCTTCAACTCCAAAGTAGTCCACTGGCAGGTCTTTATAGAATTTGGCTCCGGTGTCAATGTGAAACCTTCCAGCAGCAGCATTCACAATATGGGTGATTCCCATTTGACGAAGCTGTTCTATGTTACGGGCTATATATCTGCAAAGAAAGAGGGCTTTGGTTGTATCTGTGTATGTGTCTTCAAGACACTTGTCTTCTTATAGTAACTCTGTGAATTTCATCAGGTTTTCTTAGGCAAGCAATAGAGATGGTTTGCCACTGCATTCATCTGAAATATAGCCTAAAGCTTCCGTATTTCTTGACAATCTAACATTCAAGAACCAGGTCTGATCTTGCTTAGCTTCCAAGATCAAATGGGTTCTGGTGCCTCTAAAAGTATCAACCTAAATGTTGAAAATTTTAAAAAATCATGCAAGCTTGTAAAAAGACACTTGAAACTAAATTGAAATATCAATAATATAGAAAAAATATAGATTATGAAGAAGCAAAGGTTTGGAAAAAGTGTGGACCTTTTCCTGGTCTAGACAGTGAGAAAAACACGTGGTTCCTTCTTCATGTTGGGTGATAATTTATTTATCCTAAGTAAAAACAAATTAATAAAGAAATTTTTAAAAGGAGTAGAAAGGCACCTCTGGGTTGCTTTACAAAACACCTGGACCATTTGGGTTTTTTTTTCTCCTGAAACTTCTTTGGTGCTGAATTATTGGTACTGTTAGAAAATTGTCACAGTTAGAGACTGCTTCTGTGGTGATCAAGGCATCTTTATGACTAGTTTCATTTTAAAGAACCTAATGCCACTTGCATAACTTATTAATGTACAATACACAAACCCAGCACTGGGAGAAAAAATTAAATAAATAGTTAGGAGGGATGGCCCACAAACTTAGACATCTCTACATTAATGCACATGACGTGGGAAATAAATAAGATGAACTTGAACTGTTAACACAGCAAAGCAAATATTATATAGGCAGGCATGTAGCCGGGGGGGGGGGGGGGGCTCGAGGGGGCTTCAGCCCCCCCGGAAATTCTCATGGTGGTTCACGAAAAGGCCTTACTGGTGCATTATTTAAACTGTTATGTTTATCCATATCATGATCTGATCACCATACTCAATATATCCCATATGCATGGGGGTATTGGGGTAATGATACAAAAGGTTTACTAGGCTAGACCCTCTTTCACTCAGACTCAGCCCCCGAACCCCCCCTAAAAAAAATTCAGCCCCCCCCCCCCCCCGAAACGAAATCCTGGCTACGGGCCTGTATATAGGCGTCACTGAAACCTAGTGGGATGAGTCTCATGAATTAAATTTATTAATAGAGGGGCATAATATATTTCAGAGAAATAGACAAAACAGAAAAGGTGGGGGAATGCCATTATGTGTCAAAGATACAGTTGAGGAGAGCTCCAAGACTCCTGGAAGCCAGGTTGAGAGTATCTGGGTAAAAATTAAGGGGGAGAGAAAGAACAGGGATGTCATTGTGGAGGCCAAGTTGATGATTTTTATGTTACCTTCCTGCAACAGATGACCACATAGAGATGTTGTAGTAATAGGAGTTTCAATTTTTCATATATTTGGTGGAAAGCAAACTTTGCCACTAATATAAGGTGCAACAGATTTCTGACTTGCCTTGTAAATAGTTTTGTTTTCCTGAAGGTGGAAGAGGCAACAAGGGGATCACCTATTTTAGATCTGAACCTAACCAATAGTGATGACTTGGTTAATGGTCTTGGGATCATTAGATCAAAGTGACCATGTTTTCCTGGAGTTTGTTATATAGATGAAAAGGGAAGCCAAGCATAGCCAAAGAAACATTCTAGACTTTAAAAAAGTTGATTTCACTAAACTGAAGGAAACAGTGGGCTTGATCCTGTGGTCAGAAATATCAAAGACACAAGAGTTCGTGATGATATGTCTTAAAATTGAGATATTGAAGGCATAATTTTAAACAGCTCCAATAAAGAAGAAAAATGGAAGGTGACTAAAGAAACGGGGGTGGGTATTCAACTCTGATTCTGTGACTTAGATCTGAGCCATCAGTGTTCCCAAGCTTAATGTATTGAAAGAAAATAGCCCCTCAAAATTACAATGTGGATGCTGCTTACCCCAAGGATGACTGTCAGTCACAATGCTGTATTAAGTATTTTTCCTTCAGATTGTTGTCTGGTACACAAAAAATACACAAAATAAACTATGGTCAGTTTCCTTACCCCATGTTCTTATTTGGGGAGGTAAATTTATCTTTAGCCCAGTGAAGCAATTCTTAAAGAGGCCACAGAGGACAGGACAGGCTACCTTTCTACTATCACAACTTGTAATTAGAGGTCCTCCCCATATGTCCAGTGTCACTAATTCTCCAGGAAATGTATCAAAGATTGCATGATATTTGTGGGAGAGTTCAGTTTAAAATATCTATCTTAAATTTTGTGTGTTCTTTTGATAATTTTTGATTGATAATTTTTGATGGGGCTCAACTAAACAAAAGTCATTTCAAGGAGTTTGTGTCTTCTTCTGTAATCCCAGGTTAGATTGAGTACTTCTACCTGCGATGTCACCTGCAAATGAATGTAAGGCAGCCTTGGTGTGCCCTTCTTTTTCAGATTGCAAACAATACAGAGTTGAGAAGTCACAGTGATGGGAAAGAGATTTTTTAAGTGCCCTAAAGTCAATAGGAACTAATTTTAGGCAGCCTATCAGCGATGTGTCTGGTTGTTTTGATTGGTGTTTGTATGTGTGTGAGACTAATGTTGGTATTTAATTCATGTATTTATTGAAATGCTATGATTTTGTTTTTAGCAAAATGTTCTCAAGCTTCAAGACAATAAAGTTATGAAGAGACTATTACCATGAGAGCTTTAGAAGTATCTAAGCCAATACATGAAGCAGTAGAAAGCACACTCTGTAATGGTGAACTCAAGTGATAAAGCAGTAATGGGGCTGAAATGAGGCTATGAAGAAATAAGAAAGGTCCTCAAATATTTGCAGAAATATATATTTAAAATAAAGTCTAATAGGGCAGAGGTCCAACAACACCCAATAAGCAACTAGGGCCTCTTCCACACAGTTGTATAAAATTCACATTGAACTTGATTATATGGCAGCGTGGACTCAGATAATTCAGTTCAAAGCAGATATGGTGGATTATCCTCCTTGTTATTTTGGGTTATATGGCTGTGTGGAAGGACCCTAGAACAAAAGCCATCCAATGAGAACTAAGCACACTCAGCACAGGCAGGAAAAAGAAAATAGCAATATAGTGAAATTAAAAAAGATGGTGGAAATGATGATGTACTTGGTGGTCTAAAATCCTGAACCCAGAGTACATTATTATTATTATTATGAATAATAATATTCATAATAATTATTATATTATAATTATAATTATTATTATGAATATTGTGAAGGAGGTCCGTTATTAAACTGCTGCCACCAACTGTGACGATGACCGTTTTAATGCCACCGAATACCACCAATTGTGAAGGTGCACGTGGTAAAGCACCCACTGCCACCTTATCTATGAGGGAAGCCGGGCAACGATCAATATCAGCCTAGGAACTATTTTATAAAGGGACTGTTTCTGGCTGACTTTACTATTGCAGGCTGTTCAACTTAGGAGAAACTGTATCAGGCAAGGCTTGAGGAAAACAGTAACAAGTTTATTTTAACAGGAGTATAACATGCTTAACTGTTTCTTCTCAAGAGGCACAAATCTTGATGGTTACATTGGAAAGGTTTCATGAGTAAACTCAGGCAAACACTTCATAAGGTTTCACAGCTGGCACAACAGGCTTAAACCCAGCCAAACCTTGATTCTTAATTCAGAATCAACAACCCCCTGTACCGGGTCCTTCTCTGCAACCACTTGGTCACCAATTGATTCCCTGAATCTCCACCAAGAGATTCAGTTTTCCCTATAGCACACTGGCTACAGACACATTCCCTGAATCTCCACCAAAAGATTCAGTGTTTTCTCAGTAGCTCTCCGGCCACTAACTGGATTTTTAAAACACAGCTGCCTCTGAAGAGGCGGTTGGCTTCGCCCCTGTTGCTATGGCAACTTAGCTAACATCAAGCCACTCCCACAAAACATAACCTCCCATACTTACCATCCCTAAACCATTGTCCAAACTACACATAACCAAAGGAATAAAATTTACACATAGTCACAATTATTATTATTATTATTATTTATACCCTGCTTTTTCTCTCCCTACAGAGACTCAAAGCAGCTCACAATTAAAAGCACAACAATACAACTTAAAATATACAAATACAAAAACAGTATTAAACATAATTAATATTAAAGACAAATCGGGTTAAAACTATAAAAGCATATGGTCTTAGTAAATGATTAGTTTTGGAAATAATCTAACTCCCAACATTCCGTATCCATCCTAATCAGTACTAATACTAGATAATACAATGATTTTGTGAGCTATAGTGCAGAAAAATTAGTTTTTCAAATTCTGGTTTCCTGATGGGTGCTCTGCTCCTCATTCAAATGAACTTGATCTCCTACATAAGCCCCCAAATGCATCGGTGTACCTACAGTTTCTTTGGCCCCACCAGCACTTAAAACAAAATGCTCAAGACTTTTTCCTTCTTGATTTGTAAGTCGTTCTGTGCCAAGTGTTGAGTGGAGAATGCTGTGATTTTAAAACACAAACTTAAAGCCAAACTTTTTTCTAATATGGTGCTATGCAAGAAATGTAAAAATCCAATCAGGGAAGGTACCATAATTGCTCACCACTGATGTAGGATGAAAATCAAGAGGAAACAGAGATGCTGATAGAATAAATCTACCTGATTTATAATAATAGTATAGTAGGATGAATGTTAACTATAAGTGGTGTGGTCCCATTACTTACAGATCTCCAATATAGAGATTAGGCCAGACTTCATTGACATTGCCATGTAAGGGTATGGGTGTCCACAGCATGCGCTGGAGCGCTCCCAGTTCTGGTGTCTCAGATCCTGTCTGGCTGCTGGAAGTGGGGGTTGAAGCTGCTCGTATTCTGGGGCGCCGCAAATCATCACCATGCAGAGAATCCCAAGACATTCTGAATAACAAAAGAGAGACACAGAGGAAGAGAGCGATGGGGACAGAGACAATGGCCTGGTTGTCCAACTTAGACTAGAAAATCCTGGGTCAAATTTTCATTCAGCAATGAATTGCACTGGATGACCATGGCACTTTCCTCTCAGTCAGGCAACATTAGTGTACTGCAGTGGTTCCCAACCTGTGGTCTGTGGACCACCAGTGGTCCGCAATAACTAAAATATGGTTCAGGGCCTCACCATTACTACACTATTGCAACCAGAGTGACCGGTCTTGCAAAACCCTCATATAGTGTCAAGGCTTATGAAATACGGTTTTTCTGTGGGCAAGCATAAGGTGATTACTGGATGGCATATGTTCTGTATCAGAAACTAAAGCTGATGTGGTCTAACCAATGCAATTTTTTGAATTAGCACCCCAAATAACCAAAACAAATCTAAAACTGACCAAAAACTGATTCGTAACCATTTTGGGACTAATGTTGGAGAGTGGGCCCTGGTCAAAGTGGTCTCTGATCAAGTAGTCTCTGGTTAAAAAAAAGGTTGGGAACCACTGGTGTACTGCCATTAATAAATGAGTGAACCATGAACAATAGCCTGATGTCTTAGCAATACAAATATTTTGGAGATTTTGATAACTCCAACAATGATGCTAAACCTGTTTTGGACATCTCTTGGATCCCACTTTGACTTATGGGTGTAAAAGTGACAATAGTGGCTGGAAGCAGAGCTTGGGAAAGTTTATTTTATTATAGGTCCCAGCAACTCCTTTGCAACATAGCACATGGTGGCATTTCTTCATCTCCATCTCCACACGCTAACTTGGAACTAAAAAAAAGAAAGCAGAAACATGGGGATGTCTTTTAAAATTATGAATGGTTATCATGACATAGACTAAATGGCCCCTGGGGAATCCTTTCAACTATGAACCTCAGTTCCATAAATGAGTAGGATGCTCTGTGACCCAGAGCATTATCCAATCACTACTTGGTTTAGTTGGTTTCAGCCTATTTATCATATTCATTCTTCTTAGAAATATCTTTTCAAGTTCCAAAGGAAACCAGAATTCAATTGCACAAAGCTCTGGCTGGCATCCTGTGAGGCTATCACAGGAAAGGGCAAACTTTGGCCCTCTGGGTGTCTTGGACTTCAACTCCCACAATTCCTAAAAGTCGGTAGGCTGTTAGGAATTGTGGGAGTTGAAGTCCAAAACACCCAGAAGGCCAAAGTTTGCCCATGCCTGAGCTATCATGATGTTCTGAACTAGACATAGCTATTTGGTATTCACATTTATAATCATGGCACCTTTGCCACAATTGCAAATGCAACCATTTATTATAGCTTCTCATCCAGCCAGTCTTCAGGGAGAGCACAAACAGTTATGCTTGTTGGAAATTTGTAAATTCTTCGGCATTGTTTCCTGTTGTTTCATTATTTACATCTTTTGTTTCATAACCAGAGGCAGCCCTAGGTAATTTTCGACGGTAAGCAAACAGTAATTTGGCGCCCCCCCCCCCCCCAACCAATCACTGATATATATTTTCTCTTCACCGTGGGAGTTCTGTGTGCCATATTTGGTTCAGTTCCGTCATTGGTTGAGTTCAGAATGTTCTTTGATTGTAGGTGAACCATACATCCCAGTAACTACATATGCCAAGGTCTATTTTCCCCCAAGAGCACCTCAAGAGCGCCCCTGGGCAAAATCAACTATACTGCGAATGCTTACTTTGCGTAATGGGTTGAGCTGCCCCTGTCCATAACCCTATGTTTTACCTTCAACTAATCCATGGGACATGTCAAAATCCATAGTTTTAGACTCAACTACTCAGTAAGAACTAAACCAGAAACTTTTCACAGGAAATGGCTCTTAGGAAGTCCCTCCCCCCCTTCCCAGGCTAGCAACATGCATTTTAGGGAATGCATTATGCTTCTGAGATGACATCTTTCTACAGACGGAACATATTGTGGCCATTACCGAGGGTGGCGACTGACAGCTTAACCTGATTGTCTCCCTAAAATCATAATTTATTGGTTGTTGGAAGTGCTGTGGGGATATAAGGAGAATGACTTAACCTATAGTGATGACTGAAGCAGGGCTGGCTGGCTTTGAAAGTCAAGTCACCGATGATTTCATGGGATGCTGAGTTATTTAAGCAGCCAACTATTTGTAAGAAAATCTCTCCAGCAGCTGGAATCTAAATCTCTCAGTGTAGCAGTTTTATCAGAATTTAACTACCATCATTATTCTAAACAGAAAAAAATCCTTGGGAATGGTAATTTGGTATGGGTGTCAAGTTTTTTCTTCATGAAGAAGTCCACAGTTTCTCTGACAGAGCTGTTTTCCAGGGTCCCTTATAAGAGCAATAATTATTCCAAGTTTAAATCTGTAATGTAGAAGTATGCCATGTAGGGTTGCCAGATCAAGACTAGCCTAGGCCTTGAAATTTTAGGGCCCAACCTGAAAATTATGAACAGTCTCTTTTAATGTCAAAAGAGGTAGATGGTGGTGATGCAATGTGGGAAAGTTGCTGCTAATTTCATTAAGTGCAATTGCCTGTTCATCAACCATATATGCATAAAGTATGCAATTCAAATAAAAAAGAGCAATGTCTAACAAAGGATCTCTTCACACGGGGCTAAATTTGGCAGTATGCTCCAATTTAGTCCCAGTTACCCACTGAGCCAGCTGACTTCCATTACATGACACCAGCATAGCTCTGTGGGTGAAGGAGGGTGGAGCTGGTGCATGCCACTGCCAGGGCAAAACGGAAGGGTTCCTATGTTGCCATTGGATTGCATGGGGGGGGGGGAGCCATGTGCACTACATGTGCTCAAGCTTTCCCCCATCTGATTGCCCTCAGTTGGAGCTGGGTGATGCGGGACAAGGGGGCGCCGAGTTCCCCGCACCCCTCTAAAAAACAGAGCAAAGCTGGTGGCTGTCTGATGAGGTCAAAAGAAATAAAACACACGTATGCACTTCGGGGCACCATTGTTACTCTGAGGTTCCTCTTCCTTGCCCTGAAGACAAGAGCAGCTGCGTCTAGACCAGTGGTTCTCAACCTGGGGTCCCCAGATGTTTTTGGCCTACAACTCCCAGAAATCCCAGCTAGTTTACCAGCTACTAGGATTTCTGGGAGTTGTAGGCCAAAAACATCTGGGGACCCCAGGTTGAGAGCCACTGGCCTAGACTCTGAGGTGCACCCTTTGGCTAACCAAGCTAATTCTGTATCAGGAAACTGAGACCTATTGGCTTTGCCATAGTGAAGTTTTATTTGTCCCAGGTGAATCCTCTTAAGATAAAACTATTTCCAGATTATCCTCCATTCATTTGTTCTTTTCAAAAATAATATTTACTATTCAGATCAAGAGTCAAATTTCAAATTGTTAACAGAACAGTTAGGTAATTTAAAATGTTGGTATTAATGACATTGAGATGGGGAAATCATCCTTAAGCGATAATAGGGATTATCATTCTTCTTACTTCAAAGAATGATGTGCAAGAGAAGCCCCAGCATGCAGGCTCAAGTAAGAGGGAGTACTGCAACAACAACCCCATAGGGGTATATTTTCTGATCTCCGTGGTTTCCCCCTCCAGTGAGGACCAAGCTGCTAGTGCCAGACAACCAGTACAAGAGCTCCTAAACCAAGCTCTTTTCTCAAGGACATTCCATATAAAGTGTAGCATTAAGATTCAACTGTCAGTGCAGTTGAAGTCTGTGGAGTGGAAGTCCCAATCTGAAATTTGGAGAATGTTTTTAGCTCCAGCAGCCTTGCTGATAAATAGGTGTTACTAAGTGAATATTTGACTCATTGGTCCTCACAAATGAGGATGAACAGCTTTCTCCTCATTAGTAAGGAACAGAATATTTCTGTTGAGTTCTTGTCTGATGTTTACAAAGCCCTAAAGTGTTTTAGAAAATTGTTCTGTGCACAAATATCTATGGTTTCTGTGGGTGAGACTCAAGGATTTTGTGCAAAAAGCTTATTTTCTACATTTTCATGGGGGTGGGGGGTGGGTGGGGGTGGACCTTGCATTGAACTTTTCCTGAGCTGCCACTGTTGGTCTTAGGCCCATCCAAAACAATGTTCAGCATTGGCTTGGGGTAAAGTCTTTCATGCCTGTGCCATTGTGAGCCGTTTCCAGACAGTCCCATTTGGTTTTAAGTTTCTGTACTGTTTCTGGAGCAAAAAACCAACAACTTGGCTTATCTCTCTATCTCTCTATCTATCTTGGGCAGAAAACAACAATCTTGCACACAAAACAAGTACAAGATTACTATATTTTTGCAGAGTATAGTCTGTAAGCACTGGGTACCTCACATTCCACATAAGTGTCCTAAGTAGATGTTTTGAGCCAGCACCCAGATAAATCAAGCAGGAAGCAGACCAAATTTTCCAGAGCTGTTGCACTATGACTGGGTTTATTTTCCCTTTCCTGGTTACAAATTTTATGTGCTATTTTTACAGCCTACATTTCACCATATGTGTGTGAGAGAGAGGAGAGACAGCAAAAATGCAATTGTTTACTGCGGCCATGTCTATTAAGAATTTATTGCTCATACATTATAGACTTGAAGTACTTTGGCCACATCATGAGAAGACAAGAAGACAGGAAAGCTTAGAGAAGACAATGATGCTGGGGAAAATGGAAGGGAAAGAAAGAGGGGCTGACCAAGGGCAAGATGGATGGTATCCTTGAAATGACTGGCTTGACTCTGAAAAAACTGGGGGTGGTGACGGCCGACAGGGAGCTCTGGCATGGGCTGGTGCATGAGGTAACGAAGAGTCAGAAGCAACTGAACAAATAAACAACAACACATTATAGACCCCATTTTATAATCCTTTCATTATAGTCAATGTTACATAAATATGCATCATGAGGTAATAGTCACACATAGAATCATGGAATAATAGAATTGGAAGAGACCACATGGGCCATCCAGTCAAACCCCCTGCCATGGAAGAAAAACATGATCAAAGCACCCCGAAACAGATGTCCATC